ACACACACACACACACACACACACACACACACACACACACACAGAGACAGATAGACTCAGAACAGAGGTAATTATTTCTACCAAGGAATCAGGTGTTTGTGGGTAAATGTAGGTTCTGACCCGTTCCAGCTCCACGGTGAAGGTCTGATCCCAGGCCTGTTCTCCTACAGTCCTCCACGCYGTCTGACCCACCACGGTGTTGTCCAGCTTCAACACTGCACTCACCTCGGCTGCACACAAAGACCACTTCTTCCATGACTGATGTTTACACATTTTTGCTGCACAGGAACTCCAGAAATGCTAACCGGGCTACTTACAGGAGAGTTCTTCCGTCTTGCTGGGCGTCTTCCCGCTGACGGAGCCGCTGCGTCCGTACAGTCCCTTACTGCCTCTCATGAAGGACTTAGTGTCTCCGGGGCTGTAGCACGGCAGTGTGACTGGCGTCCCTTTACCGCGGCCCGGGACCACGTCCAACAGCCCAACACAGCCCAGCAGCTGCACCTGTAGGGTGCCTGAAGACGCAGAGAAGCATCACGAAACGGGTCAAAACAAAAGCAGAGTTATGAACTCCAAAGAGAGGTGCATGATCAGTGGAAGTACTACCTGAAGGTCAAACTCAWGGTCAATCTGTATTTCCTTCAGGGACACTCAAAATATTTACACAGCCTAAATGTTTTACCATTAGCTTCTATGTTCATCTAAACACGAGTCCAGATTCACGTCATGTTTAATGTTTAATGTAGAATTATCTCCTGCAGGAAGTTTGTTTGATTTATTTTCCAGAAATATTTGAGTGGAAGTGTGCCGGTTTAGTCCACAGTCTGTTTAACATCACTTTGGTTTCACCCACCAGTGAGAGGCGAGGGCTTGTTGAGGGTGCTGTACTGGTTTTGCAGGTAGGGGGCGCCGTGGCGAGAGCTGAAGGCCGGTGAGGAGGCCAGGACCAGCTCCTCTTTGATGATGCTCGCCTTGGGATGGTCCTCTGGCAGCTCGGCCAGACGTTGGTCCAAGGAGTCCCTCAGCAGGTCCAGYCGCTGGGACGCCTCGCTGAGTCGAGACTGAGCCTGCGGAGCATCACGTCCTGTTTCAGCTACACAACACATGCTTCCAACGATTGATTTTTGAGCAAATAAATAATGGATCATATAAAACTAAGAGCTGGGGTAGTGGGTTTGCAACCTGTGGCTCTTCCTTTACAAAATAAACACAATTTAACTTTGAACATCTGGAAATGTTTTAATTAGCTAACAATGTTAAAGAGATCCAGGATTAGTTGCAACATTAGACTTTATTTGATAACATATATTTTAACTGTAAAATAAAGACTGTAAAAATACTGTAGGATGTTTAGTTTTTATAATTTTTTTAACTAAATTTTTAAAAATATATTACACAGATGGGGCCATTTTATTTACACACAAAGCATTCTGGGTAAATGATGACATGGATAGGTCCTCGGTGCGAGGCTGCTAGCGAGCTATATCCACCCTGAAGGTTAATCTTGGACAATATCTGATGATCGACTCTTTTAAATGAAACCAGAGAGCGTTGACAGAGAGGAGAAAGTAGAAATGATTCAGCCTGGAACTGAAAATATRGATGGAGGACAWCAGTTTAGCTTGTTTGTTGCGCTAGCACCAAGCTAATACATATTTGGCAATATAGCATCAGCGCTAAAGCTAACAGGCTAAGCTGAGGTTCTTCTTCCATGAAGCAGCTCTGTTGTCCTCCATCCATATTTTCAGTTCCAGGCTGAGTCATTTCTACCTTCTCCTCTCTGTCAACGCTCTCTGGTTTCATTTAAAAGAGTCGATCATCAGATATTGTCCAAGATTAACCTTCAGGGTGGATATAGCTTGCTAGCAGCCTCGCACCGAGGACCTATCCACGTCATCCTTTACCCAGAATGCTTTGTGTGTAAATAAAATGGCTCCATCCGTGTTAAAATGTTTTTAAAAATTCACAAAACTAAACAGCCTACAGTATTTTACAGTCTTTATTTTACAGTTAAAATATATGTTATCAAATAAAGTCTAATGTTACAACTAATCATGGATCCCTTTAAAAATTAAATCAGAGTTAAATGGTGTAAAGAARTAAAAGGAGAGTACGCTCAATATTAACTTTACTAAGTCTGTCATCTGTGTGGTCAGACCTCAGACAGAGCCTTCTTGTCCTGAACCTTGCTGGCCCCCAGGAGCCTGAGGACGTTCTTGGCCCCCTCGGCGACGGCGTGCTCCACCCTGTAGTGATGCCTCAGCTCTTCGATGCGCAGCTCCACCCCACAGAGGTCGTGGTTACCTGCGAGGTCAGAGATGATGAGGATCTTACAGCAGCTCAGTTTGATGTCTCTGTATCAGGATGCCAAGGCTAACCCAACCAGGAAACTCCTTTGTGAGTATTAAGTTAATGCCTTAATGCGTGCAGTGCATTACAAAAGAGCCGGACGGACAAACAGAGAGATTATCAGCATTAACTTCATCCTCTGATTGCAGAGAGCCACACCTCACAACCTCGCTGGCAAACAGCAAATAAAAAGCTCCTATCCATCTTTGTTGCTTGCAATTCCAGAAACAAGTCATCTATTACATTTATTCTAAAGTGTTTCATATTTCCATTATACTCTGAAGGCCAGTTCAAAGCCGAGTCTGAGTAAAAACACACAYAGTTGTTTATTTCACCCCAGGGATGGAAGGACATGGTAATGGAAGCCAGAGTACTGCGGAAAATGAGGTGAAAAGCTCTCGACTCAAGAGTGAAAACAGTGAAAAGGCAGATTTTATCGCACCCACGGAGCACAATCGCGGCTAAGTGGTTAGCTTAATGACACGGTGGGCAATAAACTCAAAAACGCACGCTGATATGAGGGAGAACAGAGACGAGGGGTGAGACAAGGAGCAACACAAACAGGATAAAAAAAGGTGTGTTTGACCTTCAAAAATCAGCTTAGAAAAGATGAAAAGCAGGAGGATTTTTTGTGGACTTCTCGGCTTTTCAGAAAGTTGTTGAGGCGAGAGTGAAAGCAAAGGAGGGGAGGTGGGAGTAGAGACTGATGTGGATGCTTTTATCTCCTAATAAGGTGTTGTGCCTGGAGCTCAGACCCTGTTAGATGACCCTTCCACCGGGTGTGGTGCCTGGAGACTAACTATGTGTGTGTTCACTGAACACAGAGAGGCCTGGGACTGTGTATGTGTGTACAGTATGGAAAGGAAAAAGCTGCATTTCTTTTTCGATACGTCACTGAATCCCACCGAAGGGCGGCTCATGTACTGATCTCACAGAACCAGCAGCTCTCCAGACATACGTTGACATGYAATTCTGAGACATGGGTCCAGATTTAATGGAGCACTCAGCTGAATCCGCTGAACATGAACAGGAAGCTGGCTGTCGTCTGCGCAGGTCATCAAATACAAAGAAATCAGACGAGCGGAGAGTTTCGAAGATGTTAAGGTGGAAATAAAAGAGTGACTCTGCTSGAAGATGTAAAAGAAAAGTAAATGAGTAAAAAAGTCTGTAATTTAATTTAAAAATTCTTAACMTTTGTGTCTTTTACATTACCCCTCTGCTCAGTAACATCTACTACTTTTAGACGCCACTCAGCATGGAGGACGCAGATGAATAAAACGTCCTTTCAGGTAATCCCTCTACATCACATTAAAAGACACCCACTTTCATAACAACCATCAGCTCGCCCACTCTGTCATCAGCTGAGACGAAAAGATGGACCATGAAGCRATTCTTTAAAATCTGTTACTCCTGTCTGGTCCCAGACCTCTCTCAGTCCGACAGACATGCAAGTAACTCAGCCTCCACACACTACAAACACAAAACATGTGTGTTTGTGCATCAAAGGCACTTTTCATCTGGTTACTGCWTTGTTGGAAGACTTGGAGTCTTTGTCTCRTATCTGCAGGTAAATCTCAGTAAAGTGGCAGGTTTYACAGGCTTTGTGCTGCTCACCTCCACGTTACGGCCCACTTCGCCGCCACACATAAAGAGAYACACAAAGGGTCTGCTGTGTATCAAACTGAACGATTCCCTTCATCTTCCTCCCCCCTTCATCCCTGCCAGGACCATGTGAGGACACTGAGCTGCCTCCTCATTGATCTGTTTATGCTGCTGTGTGTGTGTGTGTGTGTGTGCGTGTGTGTGTGTGCAGTGTTTAGCTGCTGCTCAGGACAAAAACATGTGTGGAGCAGAAAAATAAGACACACTGCAGATCAAATGAGAATAAAAGGGTTAGAATAAAAAAAGGTCTGTCTTTGCCAGCTGACAGCTGCGAAACAATAAAAATACTAATTTAGAAGCGTAAATCACTGCTTCTCAACCCGCAGGTGTAAATCCTTCCCCTTTATGTGTTTGGAACTTAAYGTAGTGCTGGTTTAAAATAAAAGCAGAAAAACCCCAGTGATCTGAAGTCTGCATGCAGGTAAGGTCTGGTTCACACTCACCCTGCGTGTCCTCGTTGTGCTCGGTGGCCTGAACGGCTTTACGTATCTGCATCCGAATAATGTCGATTTTAGTCTTGCTGTCCTGCAGCATCTGCTGGGCAGTCTGCAGCATTTTCTTATCCTGAGAGAAAGAAAAACAAACAAAATTGTACTGAATTTACAGACTTTAAAGTATTCAGCAACACTGAAAATGACAATAAGTGGATATGATGTAATTTTTGAATATTAACTTCCACTTTTTTAAAGAGGTGTACTCAATAACACCACCTTACACCCAAACATTTGAAGCTTTTTCAGCCAACAGTTTATTAGCTGTTTGGTCAGTGTGAAGTGTAAAACGTGTGACGTCTGATCAATAACTTTTTGTATTGCTAAGCTTTGCTTCAGTGTAGATGAGTGTTTGTGTACTTGTTTTTACTTCAGAGTGAGGACCATTGCAACATAGTTACTATTAAAGTGAGGTCTTTGATGTAAAGTGAGGACCTCTTCAATGTCYTCACTTTGTTTGCAGCTCTGCTGTGCTTTACTAGTTAGGTTTAGAGGTATGGTGTAAATTAAGTTCTGGTTCAGGTTAGGGTTAGGAATAGACTAGTTATGATTAGATTTAGGAAAAACATCTGGGTTAGGTACAAATACAGTTACAAAAATGAATGGAAGTCAATACAATGTCCTCAGTTTGACACAAGTACAAGGATGTGTGTGTGTGCCAGTAAACGGCCCTGTACCTTGGTGGATCCATTGGCATAGATGGGAATCATGTTCTCGACTCCCTGTTTGACTTTGAGCTCGATGTTGAGCTGCCTCTCCAGGGCAGCGATGCGCTCCTTGTGCGCCGACGTGCGACTCTCCGCCCCCGGAGACCGAGGACACTCATCTGCAGAAAGAAGGAAGGTTTAAAATGATATAAGGAACAGGACGGTGGTTCACATGGTGAGGTCTACAGAGGGAAAAAACAAATCTACAGGGAGTTTTATGCAGCGGCTAATAATACTGTTGTACTCCCAGAATGCAACTGTAGAAACAAATGTTCAAATATGGAACAACAAAGTCAAGGTCTTGAGACCAAATCAGTTTTTTATCCCATAAAAGACTAAAGATGTACAAGAAATAAAAAAAAAAAACAGAATTTTTTGTCAAGAAAGTTAAAAACGCTGTTAAGTGACGATAATAAAATGAAAATACCTTTACTCTCCTCGCCTCCTTTCACCACGATGTGGGCGTCCAGCTCCTGCAGCTGAGCGTGCAGGTTGTCCAGCCGTCGGCTCGAGGAGCGCAGCTGACTGTCCACCTGGGAGACAAAAACACAAGACATGCGTCTTCCTTCGTTTATGAACAAGTTTTTTTTTCTGCATCTGTTTTTTTAAACATTTCCTTAAGCTTCTGTATGCAGGCCTGTTCCTGTCAACTACACAAAGAAAATTAAATAAAAATATTGGGTCCAAATGCCACAGGCCACTTTACCAAGACAAAGGTGAGACTGTGAAGAATAAATACCAGAAACTAAAATAAATGATCAATTTAATGTCTTTAATGACACGTATCTATGTGTTCTGTACCTACAGGGCAAACCAAACGAACTATTTTCTCTCCACCAACAAACAAAACTGCACATAAAACATCTCGTTAAGCAGAATTTGAGTCTTTGTTGTGAGCAGGAAGCTGAACTCAACACTCATCAGAAAGCATTCTGAATCTGCAAGATGAACCGAGTTTTCTCCAAAGTCTCTGTGGATGTTCTCAGCAGCAGGAGGTCGTGTCTCCTCACAGCAAACCAAACAGGATGAAATGATCAAGGCCGCTCTCAGGAGTCCTTCCTGGAGTCTTTTCTCCTCGTTATGTCGTCCTGCTTTCCCAGAAAGACAACACTAATAGGATGTTCAGTATCTGGAAGTTCTCCTGACCCTTTGGTTATGATGCAAAAAAACATAAAAGGCCCTGAGGGTTTTCTTCTGTGTGTACAGACATTTTATATGACAGAGCAACACAATGTGGATATTTGTGAAAATAAAATCCAACTTCAGAAGTCACCGAATTAGTCGAGTCCACCTGTGTGTAATTTTATCTCAGGATAAATTCAGCCGTTCTGTGAAGGCCTCAGCATCAGCATCATTAAAACCCAGAAACACACCAGACAGGCCAGGGATAAAGTTGTTTAAGAGCAGTGTTGTATAAAGTACCACAAAGTGATACTTGAGTAAAAGTACAAGTATCTTACCAAAAAATTATTTTTGGTAAAAATTAAAGTCTCCTTTAGGAATATTACTTGAGTAAAAGTATTAAAGTATCTGATATTTTTGTACTTAAGTATTAAAAGTAAAAGCACTGATTTAAAATGAGCAGTTAGATTTTCTGTAATGACATTTATTAGGAGGTGAACTCCCCAAAAAATGCAGAAATGACTATATTGTATTAAAAAAATTATTTATGTTAAATTTAGGATGTTTCAGTTTATAAACATATATCAAGGCTGCACAAACCTTTTCCCCAAAATAAAAATCTGAGGGCTGCTGTCAAATGAAATAATATAATTCATGAAATACAAATACTTCTTAAATACAGTACTTTTGTTTTAATAATTATGTTCTGCTGGAGTGTGACATGATTTGTTTGTGTACAAACTAATACACTATCAGAATTTTAAATATTTATACTTTTCATTCAACCACAATTAAATTCACTCTATCTAGGAGGCACAATGAATATGGATAGTATTTATTTTTTACAATAACAAGCTGGAAAGAAAAGAAGGAAAAAATGAAATAAAAGTAAAAACTTTCTACTTCTTGCCTTTTTTTAAAAAATGTAAGGAGTAAAAAGTACAGATAACTGTGTGAAAGTGTAAGAAGTAGAAGTAAAAAGTASGCTGAAAAATAATTACTCAAGTAAAGTACAGATACCCAAAAATTCTACTTAAGTACAGTAACAAAGTATTTGTACTAAAATTAAAGCAGAGAAAGAGTATGAGCCGTTAACAGCGCTCACCTGCTGAGCGTTCCTCTTGTCGGTCGTCGCTCTCCGCAGGTTTTCGGCTCCCTCCTTGATCTTCAGCTCCTTGCGAATCTCTCTGCGGATCCTCTCTCGCTGCTCGTCCAAAAGCTGCTGAACGCTCGAGTCTGAGAAGTCGGAGTTCTGGTCCAGGCCCAGCTGCTCCAGAACCGACAGCCCCCCAGGATCGCTCTGCGAGTTAGAAATAAAAGAACGTGGAGAATCACAGTGGTTAGTGGTTAGCACTGTAGAAGGCAACCCAGAATATCCATTAAACCCATTTAAATCCTCTTCTGCATGCATATGTGTGGTGTTTAGAGTGACAAGAAGGGAAAAGGAAGAGATGGTGAGTGAGATAAGGCAATAATGAGAGGAAAGACAGAGATAATGGGGATGGGGGTAGTGGAGGAAAATACTTGAGTTGGGGTAGAAATAAGTAACCAAAAAAAAGCAACAAACAGGGAAGAACAAAGTAAAAAAGTCAGTGTTATATTATTCAAAACCATTCATTCGGATACTGAAGTTCAAGAAAAGTATGAGAAACTTTGTATTTTAAGTCTGTCAGGTAGGCTCAAACAACAAACCGGCCTCATTTACTTCTGCTTTTCCTTATGATTTACACTCTACTTAACAACCATCTGACCGTACTAAAAAACATCATCTCCTTCTTAATCTTTAATATTCTACCTAAATGCAAAGCCTACATCCACTCTTTGCTAACAGTACAGAACTACAAATAACTTCAAAATCAGGAACACAGAAGACGCTCAGCCACTCTGAATCTTCCATCCACTTCACCGGGACGCACAAATCAATCAAACAAGACGATGATGAAGTTTTACCTCAGAGCTGTCCTCATCCTCCTCGTCCCCATGCCAACACATCACTGACTCAGATTTGACAAACAAAACAGWCACCGAGGAACAGAAATCCCTGGTTCGAATCTGAACTCAGGCAAACACTTTAACGCCACGCCGAGAGCAAAATGTGCCGTCGGCGGGGGCAGTGGGGGGGTTCATACAATAAAAAGAGATAAAGGGAGGGAGAGTTAAGTGMGAGAGGAGGGGGGAACGCCTCCGTCAGAGGATATCCGTCCCAACACTGAGCTGCTCAGGCCTTTCCTGTTTCCTCTGCGATTTTGCTGCTGTCAGTGGTGAGTCAGAGACAGAGAATAAAAACAAAGACTGTTCCAAACATGAATAAATAGTAAATTGGAAAATCATCACTAGAACTAATAGTCATCCCTAGCAGATTGTGTTTGTCGAAACATCAACTTTGTCAAAAAGAAGACAATTGGAGAGAACCTGACTTTTGTTTTTCCCCTCTCACTCGGACCAGTGATATAACCTAAAGTGAAGAAACCAGGGCAGGATGAGCTTTCTAAGTACTGGATCTAAGCCAGAGAGTAGTAATGTTGGGATACATTTATGTTGCTCGCCTGACCACACATTTCCTCTCATCTACAAAACCCAGCGGTTCCTCCTCTCCTGCAGAAAGAAGAAGCAAAACATTGATATCATCTCTGCATAAGTGGCTACGGGTGGAGTTAGATGAATAAAGATGGCCTCCAACAGACCTTAAAATGTAAAGTAAGTGTCAGGATGCCAATTAGTGAGATGAAAAAGCCTCACATTGGTGCTTTTTACAGTTGCAAGCAAGTTAAAACAAAAAATATGTTAAAGTTGCAACCATTGAATGACGTTAGCTTGTCAGACAGGTTAAACTGAGGTTGTACATAATTAAAATAACATTTAAAAACATGGCCATTCATTGCTCATGAAGTTGTTTTTCTTTTTGCAGGTTAAGACACACAACAGGGATCCTCAGGGTATGTCACAGTGTTTAATAATTACCTCAAATCTGACACAAGCTGAAGCTCAACAGTGATGCATTGACAAACCATACTGCATGATTACAATATGAGCAGATTTAATGCTGTTTGTTCTGTGTCACAGCTCATAAACATCACTGGGTTGTTTGTTTTCAGATTATCTGATTGCTGAGCAACACTAGAGCATCAAAGCTAATAAAAAATGCTGGTGGTCTTCAGCTGATGTGATAACTTAACCACAAAGACCCTTAAGATTGTAAAGACCAGTGAAAATAACACAGGAGGTTGAATTTCACTCGCTTAAGGCATAATAACAGGATACAAACACTAAATAAACTGGATACATTCTTTTATTTCAACTATAGCGTTATGTGAAAGTGAAAGGTTTTTGTGTTTTCTTGTCACAGAAGTAAACAGACTCAACTAATTACTGGTGATTTTCTGGGACAGTGTTTTTTTCCACATTAAAAACTGACTCATTGCCCTCTGTTCCACAGTCTAAACTATGACAAAACTACTTCCTGTAATCTGAAAAGACAAACTAAGCAAGTGATAAATTTTGTGCAAATGAAGTCTCAAGTTACTTCAGATAGCAAATGAGTCATCGTTTCTTAGTTGTTGATGTGAAAAACAGCTGAAAGTTTTTTATAAGGCATCTATGTTGGACAACAGTCACTCATTATTTCTCACTTATTTATGTCTTATTGTATTTACAGGCTACTATAATCACTAACTGGTAAAATATGCTTTGCATTTTTTTAATTTATGGCAGCAATGTGAAAAGCAATTCCAGCACAATTTGTTTATTTTCAGGCAACAAAACATCTTCCATAAAGTTTCCCAACATAAACAACAACAGATTTTTAGAAACGCCTCTTCAGATGCGCTACTAAAGATAATCTCTGGGATAAATGTGATCCACACCTGCTCCTGAGAGATACGCTGAAATGTTTGATGAGATTTCCAGCTCGAGGCGAGGAGGAAGGAAACTGCTGCTTTAAAGATGTTCCATGTTTTAGTAGGACTGTGAATCACTGTGTTCCTGCTCACAACTCCAGAACTTTGATAAGTTTTTATGTCTGATGGTGAATTCATTTTGCAACTGAACTGGAGAGGTCATAATAATGTTTTCACTTTGTTTGAACTGTCCTCTAATCTACAACACTAATCTAATGTGCACTTATATTAGACAAAGCTACATTTATAATTTGCTATTTTTTTAGTGGATGAGCTCCAAGTTTGAGCGCAACTAAAGTAGCTACGCTTTGTGAAGAGATAAAAAGTTGATTTATCATGCAGATGTGGTAGCTGCACGGGTTATCAGATGTGTGCAGAGATGAGCTCAGTTCAGTAATCTACCACAGCAGTTCCTAAACGTTTCTGCTTTATATCCACAAAACAAGAGTCGCACACACTCATCAGGCCAAGCTGGATAAAATAAATTCTATAAACCATTGAACAGTCTTGTCAAGCGTTAATATGTGTTCTGCATTTGTGACCGTTGTTTTTATCTGAGGACGTGTTTGTAGCGTAAACAAAGGAAAGCAGGTGGTGTTAAATTTCCAACCATCATCTTCGATCGCGAACTATTTATAATACCAACGCTGCTTCTCGTGCTGCCTCTACGACAACAATACACCGAACTTTAGTTTCATGTTCCAGAGCATGCTGTGTCCAGATCACCTGTTTTTTTTTTACAGCAGAGGAGAATAAGAACAGAAACAAATATTTATTCACATTTTGTAATTTAAAGTTATTATATTGTCATTTAGCAAATGATAATGGAGCAAACAAGATGCGCTTCCTCTCTTTAATAAAAACTACTTTGTGAACATAAAATTTCACTCCAATCACACTTATTAGAAGCCATCTGAGTTGATTTTTAGCATGTGGCTTAGTTGAATCCTTTACTTTTCCTTTTGTTGTAATAAGTTAACTTTATATCTTCACAACAAAATTGCATTATTGCCTTTTTGCGTATAGTCTAATTTTATTGCTTGTTTCCGTCCGTTTTCTTCCTCTTATCTGGGGTCAGGTCGCGGGGGCAGCAGCCTAAGCAGAGAGCCCCAGACTTCCCTCTCCCCAGCTACTTGGACCAGCTCATCCGGGGCATTCCCAGKCCAGCTGAGAAACATAGTCCCTCCGGCGTGTCCTGGATCTTCCTCTAGGCCTCCTCCCAGTGGGACGTGCCCGKAAAACCTCACCAGGGAGGCATCCAGGAGGCATCCTAACCAGATGCCCGAGCCACCTCAACTGGCTCCTCTCGACGTGGAGGAGCAGCGGCTCTACTCTGAGTCCCTCTTGGATGACTGAGCTTCTCAGCCTACCTCTAAAGGAGAGCTCAGACACCCTGCAGAGGAAACTCATTTCGGCTGCTTGTATCCGTGATCTCGTTCTTTTGGTCACTACCCAATGCTCGTGACCATAGATGAAGGAACGTAGACCGACCGGTAAACCGAGCTTCGCCTTCTGGCTCAGCTCCCACTTCACCACGACRGAYCRGTACARCGCCCGCATCACTGCAGACGCAGCATCAATCCGCCTGTCGATCTCCCGCTCCATTCTTCCCTCATTCGTGAACAAGACCCCGAGATACTTAAACTCCTCCACTTGGGGCAGGACCTCCTCCCCGACACGGAGGCGGCGCGCTACCGGTTTCCGGCTCAAGACCATGGTCTCGGATTTGGAGGCACTGATCTTCATCCCGGCCGCTTCACACTCAGCTGTGAACCGCTCCAGTGAGAGCTGGAGATTAGGATCTGATGAAGCCAATAGGACCACACCATCCACATAAAGCAGAGATGGGATCCTAAGGTCACCAAAATGGATCCCCTCAACACCTTGGCTGCTCCTAGAAATTCTGTCCATAAAAGTTATGAACAGAATCAGTGAGAAAGGGCAACATTGGAGTCCAACTCTCACCAGAAACAAGTCCGACTTACAATGCGGCAATGTGGACCAAGCTCTGGCACCGGTCGTACAGGGACCTAACAGCCTGTATTAATGGGTCTGGTACCTATACTCCCAGAGTACCCCCCACTTGAGTCCCCGAGGGACACAGTCGAACGCCTTCTCCAAGTCCACAAAACACATGCAGACTGGTTGGGCGAACTCCCATGCACCCTCYAGGACCCTGTTGAGGGTGTAGAGCTGGTCCGTTTTTGCTTGTTTATGTGTTTTTATTCTATTTTATTTTGACACAAAGTACTTTGTAACTTTRGTAGTAATAAAGCTGCCATTTAAATGAAGTTTGTTTAACTTAGATTATGAGACAAAACTTGAAATTGARACTCGGACCACCTCATCATTTTCTGCATTTTAAAGAGCTGTTAGGAGTTCCGACCCTAATAATTAACTTGAG